TTTACGTTTGTCTTTACAGAGAGGACGTACAGAGGAGGACAATGAAGATGAAGAAGATTCAGCATTTCAGCAAGTTCAAGCTTTTCTTTCAGTATCAGCATTTTTTATTTGCACTTTTGTGGTCAGTCTCACATTTTTAAAATATGTGTTTTGTTATGAAAAGGCAACATTAACCTTTGTTATCGGAACATAAAGACATACAAATAAAGTCTGTTAATAAAGTCATGAATCATTTCTTCCACTCTGATCATTCATGATACCAATACTGCACTGGGTTTATAGTAAAGGATGAAGTCTTGATTTTTTATATTAATTTTTTAATCTTTGATGGATGACGTCACATATACTGAAATAAGTTTCCATGAATTTAATATAGCAGTTTATACACGCCATTCTGTCCACCTGGACCGTTAATCAGATCACAGCTCAGCGAAGAACTGTAGAAGCTTATAAATAGGCTTACTAATCATGATTTTTGCATGAATTATAAATGAATTGATGAGCACTGTGGAAACTGACAGTGAACACCTTAACACCTTTTTCATTCAATCAGTAGAAGAACTTGCAGCAAATGTTCAATCAGTAGCACCATCAATGAAGGATACATCAATGTATTTTACACATTATGCAGGCAAATCAAAGTAAACTTTTTAAGATTATTGATCAATTAAATAACTCAAAGGTTAAAGGTTATATCTGAGCCAGATACAAATTTCCTTAAAAAATATAGTGCTGTCTTGATAAGGCCTACAGAGCATGTAATAAATTCATCCATCAATGCAGGGAAGTTTCATAACTCAAAGGTCGGAGCATCTGATCAAGCATGTAACTATAGACCAATATCAGTTCTTCTAGTAGTACTTGAAAGCCGATGCCAGATCAGCGTCAGTTGGCTCTCATTAAGGGCAGCATGAGCACCTGAGCCGCCCCTGCTCCTTGGCTTGGCCACTGGGATTGAATATGAGGCATACTGAAGTGGCCTCACTGCAGGACCGAAGGCAGTGCCTGGAGGTGGGGCTTGGGACTCGCGCACCATCCACAAATCCCTCGTTGATCTCAAATCCCCGCCGTCGTTGTGGGGCTTCGTCTCACTTGGGGTTTGGGCCTTCCCGCCAGCTCTCTCATTCAATACGGAACACGTCTTTTAGTTTCCACCTAAGGGAGAATTCTGTATTTAACGGGATGGTTGGCGACCCTATCTGGCTATTACACTTAGCCAGCTATGCTAGCTGAAAGCTCATCGCTAACACTAACACTGCCCACAAACAAGTTAGCCTTCACCGTTTTTACCAGCTGGATAATGTATTGGTTTAAACAGAGCTTTTAGATGTTGTGTGAATTTATTACACAGTGCACTCATGGTGACGTGTGTGAGTACAGAAACCACTCAAACACAACTCAGTGGTTCTAGATACGTTTTTATTGACTCATTTAAGGGAGAAATCTCACTCACTCACTCCTTCACTCACATCCATTCTTTCAGGGCCCTTTTTATTTCCTCCTCCCAAATCTCCTCTTTCCTGAGCTCTTTTCCTCCTGGGGCTGGACATTTCCTTCATGTGTTCCTCTGTTCTCCTCATTATCTCCTTATTTTCTGCTCTCCACGTCTCTCGTTTCTCCTGCATCTCCAACTCCATCCTGGACAGTCTGTCTTTCATCTTACGGTTTTCTCTCTCCAGGTCCTGGCAGTTTGTGAGGAGGTCGACTTCTGCTCCTCGTCTGGCCTCCTTGTGCTCCTTTCCCTGCGTTGCTGTCGGCTCCTCCACATGTGCCAGCAGGCGGTGTTGCACGACCACGTTCTGCTCTTTTGAGCGATCTCACTTTGCTGCTCTCTCTCAAGGCATCTCACTTTTTCCAGGACCTTCTCCAGTTTCTCCTGGGCTTGTCTGTAAGCTGCACGGCATTTCTGCACTAGATGAGCTGTGTTCTGTAGCGCATCACCAATAACAGCTGTTAGGTCTTCTATATAACCCGTATCCATTTTTCAGGACACTGCGCTAAAAACAGCTTGATAAACTCCAACCGGTTCCAGTAAATCACTAAACAGAGCAGCGTGTGATGATGTCACAACGGCATGCTCATACATGGAGTTGATGACGTCATCGATAAATACCACGACGAAAAAATCCCACACGTAATTCCAGCCAGCACACTATAGGTCCTGCTGCAGGCCCGCATGTGGAGTTAACTTCGGTCCAACGGTTCTGAAATAAAATAATAAAACCCACGAGAAAAGTGTTTTGCTCATTAATGTAAACACAAGGTCGCAAAGTTAAATAATGAGAGCTGAATAAAACTCAGTTTCTCAAAAGAGATCCGGTGCACTTCCTCGGTCAAACGCTAGATGGCTTCCTGCACTGACAGCGCTGGGAGAGCTCCGTTCATCTCACTGATTCGGTTCTTACGAATGACCTGTTCGGATCAATGAATCGAACCTCCGGTGATTCATTTTCCTCCAAGGAGCCGAATCTCTGTACTGTTTACTGATACATCCCCTGTCCACTTTACTGCGTCCACTCACTGCTCGCTGTACTGCAGTGGGGAACCTCCAGAGCTCTAAGGTCTAATGATTTTTGTGAAATTATAAAAATAAATCACCATTCTGTGACTTCTAGTTTATTTTTATTCGGTTTTACTCATTGCGTTCAGATTCTGCACGTATTGTAGTAATGCTCGAGTTTCGTTGTTAAGTTTTGGTTGGAAACAAGAGGGTTAAAAGGGGGAAACTGTCCAATGAGGATATTTTTCCTCTGCGCTATCTGGGTAGAAACAGTCGGGGGCGCTGCTGGGCTGGAGAGATTTTCTAACACCAAAGAAGAGACGGCAGTCTCAGTGCCAGAGAACTGGGGGAAAGTCTAACGTACTGGTATTCGTATCATGATGGTATTGTGATTTTTTCAGCAACAGTCAAACAATGTTACCGCCCCCTGATGACGCCCTGCTCATGCTGAACTCATAAATATGAAAGCATAGGACCCTGGAGCAAGGAGAGAACCACACAAACACGCCGGTGTTGCATCCGATTCATGTTTCCCTTCACAGCTCACACTCTCTGGCACGACTCACTGAACAGACATCAACAGCAAGCAACACTGGAAATACGGAAAGCGAAACGGTTCAGGAAAGGTTAACGACCAACACAGTTCCACCATCTAACACTGGTCCCAGCCAAGATCAGACCAACATAGTTCCACTGTCTAACACTGGTCCCAGCCAACATCAGACCAACATAGATCCACTGTCTAACACTGGTCTCAGCCAACATCAGACCAACATAGTTCCACTGTCTAACACTGGTCTCAGCCAACATCAGACCAACATAGTTCCACCGTCTAACACTGGTCTCAGCAAACATCAGACCAACATAGTTCCACCGTCTAACACTGGTCTCAGCCAACATCAGACCAACATAGTTTCACCGTCTAACACTGGTCTCAGCCAACATCAGACCAACATAGTTTCACCGTCTAACACTGGTCTCAGCCAACATCAGACCAACATAGTTCCACCGTCTAACACTGGTCTCAGCCAACATCAGACCAACATAGTTCCACCGTCTAACACTGGTCTCAGCCAACATCAGACCAACATAGTTCCACCGTCTAACACTGGTCTCAGCCAACATCAGACCAACATAGTTTCACCGTCTAACACTGGTCTCAGCCAACATCAGACCAACATAGTTTCACCGTCTAACACTGGTCTCAGCCAACATCAGACCAACATAGTTCCACCGTCTAACACTGGTCTCAGCCAACATCAGCCCAACATAGTTTCACCGTCTAACACTGGTCTCAGCCAACATCAGACCAACATAGTTCCACCGTCTAACACTGGTCTCAGCCAACATCAGACCAACATAGTTCCACCGTCTAACACTGGTCTCAGCCAACATCAGCCCAACATAGTTTCACCGTCTAACACTGGTCTCAGCCAAAATCAGACCAACATAGTTTCACCGTCTAACACTGGGTCTCAGCCAACATCAGACCAACATAGTTCCACCGTCTAACACTGGTCCTCAGCAAACATCAGACCAACATAGTTCCACCGTCTAACACTGGTCTCAGCCAACATCAGACCAACATAGTTCCACTGTCTAACACTGGTCTCAGCCAACATCAGCCCAACATAGTTTCACCGTCTAACACTGGTCTCAGCCAAAATCAGACCAACATAGTTTCACCGTCTAACACTGGTCTCAGCCAACATCAGACCAACATAGTTCCACCGTCTAACACTGGTCTCAGCAAACATCAGACCAACATAGTTCCACCGTCTAACACTGGTCTCAGCCAACATCAGACCAACATAGTTCCACTGTCTAACACTGGTCTCAGCCAACATCAGCCCAACATAGTTTCACCGTCTAACACTGGTCTCAGCCAACATCAGACCAACATAGTTCCACTATCTAACACTGGTCTCAGCCAACATCAGACCAACATAGTTTCACCGTCTAACACTGGTCTCAGCCAACATCAGACCAAACATAGTTCCACCGTCTAACACTGGTCTCAGCAAACATCAGACCAACATAGTTCCACCGTCTAACACTGGTCTCAGCCAACATCAGACCAACATAGTTCCACTGTCTAACACTGGTCTCAGCCAACATCAGCCCAACATAGTTTCACCGTCTAACACTGGTCTCAGCCAACATCAGACCAACATAGTTCCACTATCTAACACTGGTCTCAGCCAACATCAGACCAACATAGTTCCACTATCTAACACTGGTCTCAGCCAACATCAGACCAACATAGTTCCACTATCTAACACTGGTCACCAGCCAATATCAGGTCAACGATAGATAAAGATAAATTTTATTTTGAGAGTTGATGTCTTTGCCTTGGTCCTTGTGCTGTCTTCAGCACTGTAAACTAAATTACAGGTAAAAGGAAGTGATTCTCATCATGTGTGGCTGGAAACCTCAACGTTTAAAGGAAATCCACATTCTGTTGCTCATGGTATGAAGAGCTGGACGGTTCTGCTTTCTATTTTTTGGCTGAAGTCTGCAGGGAGAAACACAGCACAGGGACCTAATCATGAAATCTCTCCTTTTTCTTGCACTTACTTTTAATCTGACATCAGCAGGTGAGTTCATGCTAATTACAACATACTGTATATGTAATCCTAAAGATTTAAAGGTTAAAGTTTTTTTGGAGGCTGTAAAGTTAGATACTCAGTGGTGCAGCCCTTAACTTCCTGATTACTGCTATTGCTGTAGAGCAGACCACAAACTGGTTTAATATTCCCACAGGATTTGAACAACCAGCCCTTAACTCACAGCTAAATGTACAAGAACTAGTTCTTTAAAGCTGCACTATGTAAGATGCCTGCATGTTCCAAAAAAGATCATTTTTTGAAAATTCCTTTGGGCAGACTGCGCAGAATGTGGCTTGGTGTCACGCTGAAATAATCAGGGACGTCTCTGAAAAAATGCTGCATATCACTGCTGTCAGAAACAAAACCTTGTATCTCTGAAATGATAACTTTACAATTGTTTTGTCCAAAATTTAAAACACACAGTGTAAAGTGCAACAGGCATTTTATGTCAAAAACTGGAAAATGACAAAGATGGAGATGCAAGGTTTCAACAGCAGTGATACGTCGCTGCCAAATGTGTTCAGCGTTGATAGTGGTTTTTATAGATGTGCAGGTTACCAGCTAATACTCCATAGACCCTGGCTTAAACTTTACGTTGGTAACAATGAGCATGGTCCATTTTCTCTTTGATCCAGAGAACACAACATCCATTATTTCCATAAACAATCTGAAAGGTTGACATCATCAGACCACAATACATGGTTTCACCGTGCATCAGTCCATTTCAGATGAGCTTGAGCCCAGAGAAGTCAGCAGTGTTTCTGTATGTTGACATATGACTTCCACTGTGCATAGTACAGTCTTAACTTGCATTTGTGGACGCAGCAACAGACGGTGTAAAAGTTTCATTGATATTGATCGTTAATTTGTGAAAGTGTTCCTGAACTCATGTGGTAATGTCCATCACAGAAGCATGCTGGTTTTTTAATACAGTGCTGTCTGAATGGCCAAAGGTCATGTGCATGCGTTTAAGTGAAATAACTCAAATCTTTGCACTCACTGAAGAACGTTCTTCTCTTTGCTGTCAGACTCTTTGCTAATGCATTTCCTGTTAAAGTAGTGAGCCTCAACCCATCCTTACTCATTAAGGACCTGGCCTTTCCAAGATGTTAAATTCATGAACATAATATAAACAGTAATAACAGTAATTCAGAAAAAATAGTAATTGATTGTGTTTTCTGTACATGATGTGAACTTTTTTACACTTAGAAAATCAACCACTACATGGAATTTGACCAGGAGCATCCAAACGTTTGCATGTGACTTCATATGTGTAACTTTACAGGCTTTAAATTGAGTCAAAAGAAAAAAAAAATATGCTGCAAACTTTGTTGATAGTTCTTAACTGCTAATGCTTTAAAGGAGACCACAAACAGCTTTAATAGTGCAGCTATACTGGTCCTTTGAAGCCATTCACTGTTTTCAGCTTATTAGGCTTAAGGAGTTTACAGAGCCTTCAAGGAGAACTCCACCCAAATTTCTGCAAAGTCCAGTGTGTGAGATGTAAACAGAGTGATTCAGAGTGGTTTGGTGTGAAGTGATAAATATGAAATGATAGGTTTTCTTTGGGACTATTTTGCCTTATAACACCCTGCACGTATCCCTCCACCATGAATGGATTTTAAGGCCAATATCTTCTCAAAAGTATTGCAAACAGTGTCTCAGTCATCAGGCAGTGAATTCATAACCATTTCATGTAGTAACTTTCTGTGAGGGAGCTTTTAGAGGTGGACGTCTGGTTCCTATCACCACCACTGTGAACAATTCTGACTCTGTAAGTTTCTCTAGAACAGAGCGTTTCACACCAAACCACTCTGAATGACTCTGTTTGCATCTCAACGGTTTAATTATGTAGAACTATGTAAAGTCGGTGGCATTCCCCAGTTCTGGCCTGAATGATCAATAAAAACCTCTGAAGACTTACAACATTTCTACTTGCATGCATATGATTATTGTGATTATAACAAATTGTATGATTGTAAATTGTATGATTCAGTTATTAATTGTTTTAATTTTCATCTTTACAGCTACACACTCTCTGCAGTACCTCTACACTGCAGTAACTCCAGGAATAAACTTCCCAGAGTTCTCTGTGGTGGGTCTGGTGGATGGAGAGCAGATTGATTATTATGACAGTAACATCAGGAAGATGATCCCCAAAACAGAGTGGATGGAGAACAATGAGGATGATGATTACTGGAACAGTGAGACCCAGAGTAGTGAGCGTCATCAGGAGAACTTCAGAACCAGTGTGGGTAATGTAATGCAGCGATTCAACCAGACTGATGGTAATTACAGATCTATTAGCATTTATAATGCAGTAATTATATATGTTCATTTTTCTTCATAAATAATAAACATATGACCACATTTAAGGATTATATCCGATGTTGTATTACAGAAATGTTCTATATTTGAAGTTAAAATCTGATGGAAAAAATGTTCCCAATTTTGTGTTATAGAACCAAATCCTGTCTTAATTTAGGAACTTTATCTTACAGCATCTTATCTCACGTAGTAAATCTTAAACTACTCAATCAAAGTTGATAATCAACTGTTCTGTTACTAACATTTTTGAACCTCAGAGTTAGAAAAAAAAATCTCACAAGTGAAAACACTGTTGTGCAGTGGAAATAAGTGTAGCATCTCTAATTACTGTGAATTTGTTACATGAAATGATGTGACTCTGTTGGTGTTTATCCTAACGTTAGGACAGTATTTAAAACCAGTTAGGATGTTTGTGTGATGCTGTTTTCTTATCTGGAGTGGAACTGTTATTCTGTAATAGCTACTGTCCTGAATTCAGTCCATACTGAAGTCGTCATGAGCAGTCAGGGGTTCCAAAGGGCAACACGAATAAAACTTAATGCAATTTACTGTATATTACAGTTACTCTTAAATTATTAGTGTAATTATATTTCAGTTAAAAAAAGTATGCAGCAAAGCATCTCAGAGCCAGAAAGAATATCCTTTAAATGAAACAGGAACAACAAGAGTCAATGTTAGCCTTTTTAAAGTCTACATGTTCCATGATTAACATTATGCATAATAATGAGAGCTCCTATGAAACATTTCATGAAACATTTCTGTCCTGATGGGAGTGGTCTACACCACCCGCCCATCCATAAACCCTGAGGAATCACTGAATGGTTTGAGTATGAAAAATTGTTTGCTATGGCCTTCACAGTCATCAGATATCAACCCTGTTGAACACTTATAGAAGATCTGATATGAAAAACGTACAACTTTGCCATAAAAGCCCTCGAAAAAGAGAGTAGATGCATGACTGTCAGACAGCACCGCTGAAGAATGTGTGCTCTGAAGATGAAGGTCAAGCTGTTCACTGAAAACCTGAAACTGCTCTTTGACCAAAATAACGTCAGACCAGCTGTGAAGCATGGTGGAGGAAGTGTTGTGGTTTGGGGCTGCTTTTCTGCCTCTGGGCCTCCTCACACTGTCATTATCGGTTAATGCTCATTGTTGATTGATTTAACTAGAGCAACTATAAAAGGCCACTAAACTGTGAATTCTATTCCTAGTCATGTGTTTTAAAGTGTGGTACTGCGTTAATTTGCATTTAAATATCAAACAAATGCAACAACATTCAGAAATTATGTTATTAACAGAGAAGAGTAAATTATGATGGAAATACTTTTTAATCTCTATATTAGAATTGCTTAGTTTTTCTATTTTCCTTAATTATTATTTTTTTTTATAAATTAATAAATGATTAAATATCAAGATTAAATGTCAAAATACACAGACTGGGAGGTACTAACTATTTCACGGAACTATAGGGATTCCAGTGACTAACACTGTGCACTGAGGCAAGGGAAGAGCAGAAAACTCCATCTGTTCATATTACTTGGCATCAGGTTATAATGTAAATGAATGAGGTTCACTGTTTCAGTAGATCACATGCTTTAATTTGCTGTATTAAGTTCCAGCTTTATATTCCTGTGTGTCTCTACAGGTGTTCACACAGTGCAGTGGATGTACGGCTGTGAGCTGCATGATGATGGAACCAAGAGAGGATACATGCAGTTCGGTTATGATGGAGAAGATTTCATCATTCTGGATCTGAACACTGAAACCTGGACTGCAGCCAATGCTAAAGCTCTTATTACCAAATACAAGTGGGATCCTGATGCTGGCTTTACTGCAGGCAGGAAGACCTACCTGAAGATGACCTGTATTGACTGGTTACAGAAGTATGTGGGTTATGGCAGATCCACTCTAGAGAGGAAAGGTACAGTGATCTGATCTGTTACTGTAACTGTTCACTCTCACTGTTTCACCCTCATCACTGAAAACCTGCTGATCATTTACTCACTGATTACTCACCAGCATGTGGAGGACAAACATCTCATGGATGCCTCTCTTTACTTTCCCTCAGTGTAATACAGTAGACCCTCTGATTTCTGTAGAGGGTAATAATACATCATGTTATGTTATTATTTTAGTGAATCCACTGGCCATATGGATCTTAATCAGCCACTGTATAATATGTACAGGTTTTATTTTTAAGTTATTAATGTTATGACTGATTATTCAGTATCTATTCAGGTTGGACACGCAGCTGAATTCCAGAAGAGTGGAATGTTTACACTGGGTTACTGCACTAAAATATGCACATATTTTGTCCAAATGCTGCACCTTAGCTTGTTCAGGATCACATCAGTCAAACATTTACTTTTGTTAAATATGCAGTTGAAGATAAGTTAAAAATGTGCCATAACTTTTTTCCAGTATGTTAAATTCAGCTAATAAACATTAAGTTTGTATTCAAATGTGCTGGTGTGTGTCTCTGTAGAGGACGTGTTCACTTACTTACACTTAGAAAATCAACAACAACTTGTCCTCTCTCTCTCTCTCTCTCTCTCTCTCTCCAGTCTCTCCTGAGGTGTCTCTGTTCCAGTGGGACTCTTCTTCTCCAGTGGTGTGTCATGCTACAGGTTTCTTCCCCAAAGCACTGAGGATCTCCTGGCAGAAGAATGGAGAGGATCTGCATGAGGACGTGGAGCTCTTTGAGACGCTACCCAACCAGGATGGAACCTTCCAGAAGAGGAGCATTCTGACTGTCTCACCTGAGGAGCTGGACAGGGACAAGTACTCTTGCATCATTCAGCACAGTGGCCTGGAGAAGAAGATGGTGCTACAGGTGTCTGATCGCAGGGACCTGTCAGGTAGGAGAATCTGATTCCGAGGTGGCAGTAAACCCCTCTGTACTCTCAGACTCGTTTGGTTGGTGAAGCAGCTGAAGGAGACTGACAGATCTACCTCACTGGTGTTTCAGACAGAGGCTCACATGGAGGCTTGTTTGGTGTCGTCATCAGTGCAGTCCTGGCTGTTCTTCTCCTCTTTTCACTGTGGAAGATGATGAAGGAGTCCGGTAAGGAAAAGGAAGCTGCACACGAGTCTCTATGGAGACACACAGAGGTCAGACATACGTGCGGCTGCAGTTTGAGGGCAGGCTGCACAGAGGACGGCTGACCATGCGCTGGTGAGGTGCAGGGCTGAAAATGAACACCGAAATCAGACATAAAGACATTCAGGGCAAAAGAGAAGAGTTTAGTGATAAGGAGACAGTGATGTTAGGGGCTGCTCAGATAACACCTTTCTACACTGACCTGTCAGCAGGTCTCATGTGGCCATTCCTCCAGTGGAATGGAAACCAACCCATCAGATATTATTGTTGATATAATCACATAAAATGGTTTAATTCCAAACTGTCTTAAAATATTTGAACTTTTTCAATGTAAATCAAATAACTAAAATCAGGGCTGGACTGGGGGCCTCCAAAACAGGCTGACATTGAAAGTTGGTGTTAAATGTGAGGCACAAAGAGTCTCATGAATCTAGTACATATCAAAAACATAGATAGCTAGCACAGCTGAGTACCCCCCCCAAAAGGCCAGAGACCGCCGACAGGCCCAAAGTTTTATTACTCACTTCTATAACCTAAGAATAGCTCAGCCAGCTTGCATTAAAATCCCTGTACTTACTGAATAATAAGCCTTAGTATGTAATAAGCCTGAGATTTAAAGGGGTCAACAATTACAGTGCTACTGTCATGGAACCCCAAGTAAAAAAGTAACCAACTGTTCTTTCAGTTTGTGTTCTAAGTGTGTGTTTCCATCTAGCCGCTGTGTGTAGCCACAATTAAAGAAACTCCCCCAACACCTCGCCTCTGAGACACTACTGATAATTTACATCTGGTTTAAAAAATAAAAATCCATGTAAATCTGGCTAGGGCACGCGACTCAAAATTTAGTAAATTGGGTGGAATTTGTAATCAGCTGCACGTCCAGTAGCTCCGCCCATTGTCTGAGTGATCCTCCCACGTTTTGTGCTCTTCTTTGCACATGACCTATAATCTGCACGTTTAGGCTCATACACCAGTTCCGTACAAACACGCCAAAAGAATGCATCTGATTTACTCCTGAAACTGAAAATCAACCAGTGTACTGTATGGAAAAAGTTCATTTTTAGTTTGGTCAGTTAAATGAGAGGTTCAGCAGAATCTGTCATCGTTTTTATTGACAGTTATTTAGTTACATTAGCTTTTTTTCCCCAGAAAGTCATTTCTACATTTGTTTTTACATCACATTTTGGTTAACTGGTCTACAATTGGTCACAGTTTGGCCTAAACAGCTCACTCCCACCCTCTCCTAATACTGACTCTTATTATACCAAATCTGAAGTCAGAGTAGAAAACATATTTGGGACTTTTAACCAACTTTAGACTTCAATAATTTTGCTTTGTGTGACTCTATACCTTAGTTATGTTTATGTTTTTATATTAAAGTTTACCATTTTGTCACTACCAAAACAAACATAACACACCAAACTCTCCCACATGTTTCAGTAAGGACAATTTTAGTTCATTTTGAGCAGAACTCAAAAACACTAGCCAGTACATGACCAGCACAGCTTTGAAAAGCTGGGCAAACAATCATAATATTTTTATTAAAACACCAAAATGGTTTCTTAATTGTATAAAGTTCTGGATAAGGTTCATTGTTTTTTTATAGTTTTTACTCAGGGCCTGCAGTTTGAACTAATTCAGTAGAATGGTCATTTATTCAGAATATCATGTTTAATTTTGGTCATTTCAGTTTAGCAGCATTACACGTTATGATTGGTATCAGCACAGAGTTCCTAACCCCGCCTCCCTCTCTCTCCTCCAGAACCTTCAGACGAGTCTGTGTTTACCAAGGTCATCTTCTCTCCAGTGGATTATGAGTCTACAGGTCAGTTTTAGAGCTGAGACTGTATGAATGGCAGGACATCTTTCACCAGTGAATCACTGTCTTCATATTTGTCTTCACAGAAATGAAGTAGAGAAGAACAGGACCAAGATGAAGAACTCAGATCAGATGATTGCTATTTTATCTTTATAGTGTTCAGTATTGCAGTGTTGGGTTTATAATAAAGCATTTCTGAATGTACACCTGATTCTACTGTCTACTGTAAAGGACAAAGATTATCTACCACAGGCTTTAATGGGACATACAAGTACAACAGTAAAATAACTAAAGTGGATGTTATTATTATTATTAGTATTATTATTATTATTATTATTATTATTATTGTAATATCAAATAATAACAGCATAACTGCGTCCGTTTAGTGGGATTACAGACACTAAAAGCATTCCATTGAAGTCTCATTCAATGGTCTGTGGAAGCCTATGGAAGAAACATTGTGCTTCACTGGAATGCAGACATACACATTTAAAAAACTCAGCAAATTGGAAAAAAGGAAAAACACAGAAGTTTTCATTTAGTAACTACTGCGACTGTGTACAGTACAGCGAGGCCAATAGAGGGCGCCAGAAAACAGATAAAGGAGCTCAGACTAAACAGAGAGCTGGGCCTTTGGTTCGGGCCATACAGGTCAAAAATCAGTGAGAAAATGAGAAATAAAAACCACCTCTCTGTTAAAATGCCAATTTCTGTTAGCATCCCAATTACATTTCTAATGGTATGTTAGCACAAAGCTAAATAGTGTAGCTGTTCTAGGTTAAACAGACACTTGAAGCTTATAAAAGTAATTCCATATGTTTTATCTGAAGCCTAGAAGCTTCTATTCCTAGCAACTAGCCAAAAACTGCTTAGACTACGGCTCGTATTTACAGTCGTTAAATGGATCCTATTGTAAATCAAAGCGTGATTGGTTGATTCTACTGTTCGATTCTTGTGTTAATCTAGTGTGTAAGGCCTTCAGTTCAGCTCCTAAAGTCCTAACCAATGGGAGAGCTCGCTCGGCCTTATCTACCTAGATATTATAGAAAACACAAAAATCTGGTTGGATGATGGGAGCACAGCCCAGCTTGGAGGAGGAAAGAAAATGCAGCATCTCACTACACCATTAAAAAAAAGATGGTACTTCAGCGCTTCTTGACTAAAGACAGTGGTTCTACATAGAACCATGAACACTCAGTGAACCATTTCCATGATTAAATGGTTCTTTCCATGGAGAAAATTATTTTTCAGACTGATGGAGAATGTGACTCAAAGAATCATTTACACAACTAAGTGGTTCTTTGGTAGGTGAAGTGATTCTTCAGATTGATACGGAATGTGTTGTATTTTGAAAATGGTTTTATATAGCACCAAATGGGTTCTTCTATTGTTATGATGTCAAGCTTGTTTCAACAGAAGAACCTCTTTTGGTGCTACATAGAACCATTTTCAAAATACATCACATTCTGCATTAATCTGAAGAATTATTTAACCTACCATAGAATCATGCAAGTGATTCTTTAAATCAAGTCAAGTCAAATTTATTTGTATAGTGCTTTTTACAACTGATGTTCTCACAAAGCAGCTTCACAGAAATCCATTAAAGACAAAGTTTTAACATGAAATGTAAATCCTCCAGGTGAGCAAGCCAGGGGCAACAGTGGCGAGGAAAAACTCCCTCAGAGCTGAGGAAGAAACCTTGGGAGGAACCAAGGCTCACAAGGGGGGACCCATCCTCCTCTGGTCAAACTACCTACAAAATTATTATTCTACTAATATTAATAGTAGTAGTAGTAGTAATAGTTAGGAGTCCACTTCAGTGTAGGGTGGGTAGCCAGTCCAAGGCAGGTGGCGGTAGCTGGGCAAGTGGCAGTGACTGGGGCGTGGGCAACTGGTCTGAAGCGGGTAGCAGGAGAGCTCGACAGACCTCTCAGACATCCATCAGTGTTTGACCTCCAGGGACCTGGCCAGTGCCTGAAATCGTATTCACTATGTACTGATACACTACATACAGAACTAGTGAACGAAACAGGACACAGCCAAGGTTCATTCCTACTTAACATTTACCCCAGAATTTCTCATGGCTGTCCCCAGATGTTCTCACGTTTAGCCCCATAAAATAAAGATATCAATTATGTTGATTATGTATATGAAATTTGAAACATATCAATTACATTAACAATTACTTCTGCATAAACAACACTTCTGCTTTTCCTGTACTTTTAATACACAATGACTCTATTGGCAGAATTTAACATAAACTATGCAAAAGTTATAGCATATTTTATGTTATTTCCCATTTTATTAAAGTCAGCAAATCAATATTTTGCTGAAAATTCATATTTAACTTGTATTTACTTAGAAAATCAACAAAAATAATTTGATGGGGGCATACAAACTTTTGCATGCAGCTGCAGCCACATATTTCCAACTTTTATTCATGGAATTCAGTGACTGCACACTGGCTTATGGATTTTACAGCAAATACAGCACAATATAGATGGAACAGAAAAACTCAGGCATAAACTGTGATCAATGCTGCAGTATTTATTGAATTTAAAGAGTAACATATTGGCAAAGCATGAACTCCTGATATAGATTACTAATACAGAGCAAGCAGAGATAACATAGCTTTTATATGATGTGAAAGTCAACTGTTTTACATTTCATTTATTTTTATGTGCTGTATGTGTTAAAGAGAGTTTTTCAACCTAATCTCTATCTGCTGCATTGGTGGTATGGTCGAATGCCACAACAGCATGTTTCCCCGAACTTCACCTGATTAGTGCAAACTCGGTGATAATTGAAGATCTTGTGCTGAATTCAGCCAGTCAACATTTACTCAAACACAAAATGTGGCCTAAGCAAAAGTTATGGTTCATATTATATTTTATGTTTTAATTTTTTCCCATGCATAGAAACTAAAATTTGCAACAGTTTACATGTGTACTCTGTAGAGGAGCACTGTAGATGTTCACATATTTTCACCCAGAAAATCAACACAACCTGTAATTTGACCAGGGGGTGTTCAAACTTTTGCGTATGACTGTACTGTAAAACGTCTTTGAGCTGGAGTCAGAGAGTCACTCATTTAGGAAACCTGTCACATACAGTATGGAGCCAGGGCACAATTACAATGTCATCGACTGAATCAGTGAATCCTACCTTTTGGCTTGAAAAAGCTACAATGCTAACAGTGCGAATTGAGCAGGTAAATTGGGGTTAAAGCAGGTCTGTTCAGCATCTCTGGATTTGGCGTTTGATAGAGATCAGATAAGAACTGGTCTACCCAGGCAAAGTCAAACCTAAAGTTCAAAGCTTGTCAGGGACACAGAATGCATTATTCTCCTCACAAGGCCGACACTTATTATTGTTATCACACTGATACAGAGGAATTGTTTTTGTTATCTCCTTGAAAGCTGTTCTCAGAAGGTTTATATCCTTATTTTTGTCGTTTCTGTAGATCTGTGTGAAAACAAAGGCCCTTGGCCCTTGGAGGGAGTTAAGAACACCGAGATGATTATAAATGCACTTCAGAATTAATGATTGGCTGCCTTGGTTTTGGTTTTGGTTTTGGTTTTGTTTTTGTTTTTTTTGTTGTTTATCATACAGAATTTGTTTGGCTTTATCTTTCTCTTCATCTAGGCACGTGTCTAAACAGGGGGAGTTGTAGGTGTAAAAGATTACACAATCATCTTTTCTTCCCTTTTCATCCTTTAGCAAGTTTTTAATGGCCTTCCCCTCGTCTTCTATCAACAGTGTGTACTCTGAATGCCTATCAGGCCTTTCACTAGGTCTTGCAGCAATGATTGTATTTCTTTCATAATACACCCCTTTTTTCTCCAGTTGGTTCTTGAATTGACTGACTTCTTCTTTAAGAGATACAAAGTTCGCACTATCAGTTTCTTTTAGACAACCATCCTTTGCAATCCTGATTGCCATAGCATACTGAACATCATCCGGCGCAGATGCTGATCCAGATGCTGGTGCAGATGTCGATGGGTTTTTATTGTTACTGCACAGATATAATGACAGATTAAAGTGAGTGTTGGTGACCATGAAAAAAATCCAGAAATTATACATTTTCATGCTTTTCCATTTTTTCTTAAATTAAACATGAACATAAAACTTTTTTATAACACTGGCTATTCAGACCACCAAACCTCACAGATACTTTCATTTTTATAGAAATGTTTTTCTTGTTTATGACATTTGGAAATAACGTTCTTATTTATGTAGAAGCTTCTCTGTTGTTTGTAGATCAGACAATCACTACTTACTGCAGATTTATCACACTGACTATGTGCTCCAGTGCCTTCAGGTCTACAGTTCTCTGGCCTTCAACGTCCCTGATTCCTGAAGAGAGCAGAGAGAGGAGGAGCGCTGCCCTCAGCACACCTGTCCACACCTGCACACAGTTTCAAACACTCATAAACAACAGAAGCAGGGCTACTTTAAAAAAAGCATGTCATTATTGATTACCTGTTAAAATATGTAACTGTTACCTAATTCAGAGAATTTCTATATTAATCTGACTAATTATGTTTAGATGACATAACGATAGATTATTGATAGATCACTTAAATATTGTGCCTCCCTGTAACAAAGTGGCTTTATTTGGGGCGGTCCAGTACTCACAGTCACAGCAGGCAGGGGTCAAAAACTAAGGCAGGCAATGTAAGAGTTATATCCATAATCAATCAATCAGAAAGCTAAGCAGCGATCAATATCAGTGGTGCTATATGAACACCTACAAAGCAAGCATTGTCTGTTTTTTTTCTTGAATCCATATTAAGGATGTTCAGTTTTTGAATGAAAGAAATTGATTTTTGAAGTATTATAAGTCGTATAGTATCCACCTGAACTGTGACTGAATGTGTTAGCTATGTATAGTAACTGTTTTTATGTAATGTTAGTTGTTCACTGATATCAAATGAGACCCATATCTTGAAATATATTGGAAGGAAGAAATAAAAATCACAGTGGTCGTGTAATGGCGTGTAATGGTCGCCTGAGAACACAGTAGTACCTATTGTTTATTTTGTGTACATATTTGGTGATTTAAGCCATCAGGGAGAAGCAGTAATGTAAGTAATGATGCAGAGTTACAAGGAGCAGAAGTCACTTTAGACTATTCACTCTGGATTTATGAGCACTTTATAACATTTCATATATGCCTAATTTCATTATAGACTATACATTATGTGCATATGCACCTTTGGCAACAAGACATTTGTTAATGTGTAATGAAAAGGTTCAGTAAATCAATCACAATGATTTGTTTAGAAATCCCCATTTATATTTCTATATACATTAAACCCACATTCCCTGGACACACTTGCTCTTGGAAAAAAAAAATGAGATGAAAGTCCAAAATCCTTTATTTATTCAATGAGATTTTCATTTTAGGGCAGAAAGAGATGCTTGTACACATAATAGGCAATACAATAAATAATTAGACATGTAACGAGTACACAAAAACAGTGAACAAAAGTACAGTACTTCAGTAAAAGTAGGTGTAACACACTACTTGACTAAAAGTACTCTTCTAGTAATCTTAAGTAAAAGTACAAAGGTACTTATTTGCTTTTGTACTTAAGTATCAAAAGTACATTAAAGGAGGTTGTAAAATGGTTAGTGTTTTCTATAGCTAACATCTATTGATTTTAGCCAGTTTTACTGTTTCAAACTCATACGAGGCAGAAATAACGTGTTTAAAATTCACTTTACTATATATATATATATATATATATATATATATATATACATACATTCGATGGGGAGATGAGGTAATGCCAGTAATGTTTATGACCAATTTGCATGAGATACGTACGTAGAAATGACAGAGGTGGGAGCGGCTACTCGATTTGCGCTCCAGAAAAGAGCAGAAAACATCTTAAAATACTTTCTTTTGTTTACTCATTATCATTTACTCAAGACTTTTCCTTGCTGTCTGAAATGCAGTGTCAGTGTGTCAGAGTGTCGGTGTGTCGGTGTGTCAGTGTGTCGGTGTGTCAGTGTGTCACGGCCATTCGCTTGGAAATTCACAACAGTCAACTTCATCCCATAAAATGAAAAGAAATTATTTCCTGTAATTTGTACATGTTCTGAGTTGTGCACGTGAGACAGGACAGTGACTGGACAGAACTGCCCGTTCCATGCCGTTCTTCGCGCTGTGTCGCCGATGCGCACGCGCAAACGTGGTTGCTGAGACACAGGCAGACGCAGGCGCAGCTGGAAGCTAAACGAAAGTGAAAGTTTCAGTGCCACATCTTTACAGTCACCCGGTTCGCCAACGTCTTCAGTCTCGTCTGAAATAAATCTCTTCTGAAATAATATTTCTACCGCATTTCTGCACCATTCTTCGTTGTAAACACACGAGCCACCGCCGCCGCGCGTCTTCCCGGGCAGCGCTGCCGCCCTGCCGGCGCTGTGAGCTGTGAGCCCCGCTAAGCTGGACTGCCACGTTTCAGTACAACAGGAAAACGCAGCGGTCCGGGGTTCACGCTGTGGTCTGAGGCGGTCCAGTTTATTGTCCAGAGAGCGGACGTTGGAGAGGAGAACAGATGGTACAGACGGGCGGCCAGGGTTAGCAATGAGCTTAGCTCGAACCCCCGAGCGTTTACCGCGTTTCCACTTTCTGCCACACCGTTTGCGACGCCTCCTCTCCCGGCCAGCGGCGTCACGCAGTCCCGAGGTCCCGAGGCCTGGTCGCGCAGCGCCTCCAACAGTCCGTCATTTATCGTAGCAGAGCTCCGTTTTCCAGTATCATACTGTGTGTGGCGGTGCTGGACGTGTTCACCAGGGTGTCTGATGCGCATCTTAGAAAGAACTGTTTCCAAAAACGGACTACAATAAACAAAAAGCACAATATGTTCGTGTTTTCCCAGAAGCAGCCGTTACAACCCCACCCAGTACAGAAGTGGAAAAGGCCAATAAACACAAACGCGTAGTTCATTTCTGTAGATCATCACTTCTTCTGCTCGATGAACATGGTGATTTAACACCTAATCTGTGTTTGAAGAATCCAGAAGAAGCACTGAGAACGTTTAAAACAAGCAGAAACTGGGAGATTTCCCTAAAGAGCTTCTTACCATGATGGGCCGAGATGTTCGCAGACGTGCTGAATCTTCTCAGTTTGGCTGGAATGTGCAGGGGGGGGGGAGACCCCGTATATATAGCGTCCAGCAGGCAGTTCCTTTCACTTTCATTTCCATTTACTGCAGGATGACGTTTCAGATCAGAAGCCATTATTAAAGTTATGGTCCAGCTTGATTTCTGTGTATTTATTTTAAATGACTGCTAACAAACATTTTTACTACTCAGTTTTCTTCTTCGAAAGTCCTCACATGGTTTGCACAACAGTTTAGATCAAAGCAAGAACATTTTTCTTTGTTTGAATACAGAATACACTCAGTGAACACAATTTCCCAAATCCTTAATTCTCTTCTCACTCAGTCTCGGCCTTTAACAGAACTGTGTAGCTCAAACTGGAAATGCTTACATACAGTGCTGCATATCTGACATAGCCGTGATTCTGCTGTGGGTAGTGCTCTTTAAAACCAGCAGAAAGAACACACATGGCAAAAGAACCCCACTCCCACACCCCAAACCCAGAGTGCCACATTACCAAAACTCCCTTCCACCCCAGTGCCCCTGGTATCTACTGTGAATAATTCAGTATCTATTATGAGTTGTTCAATAACTACTATGAATTATTCAGTATCTACTATGAATTATTCAGTAACTACTATGAATTATTGAGTAACTACTATGAATTATTCAGTATCTACTATTATTCAGTATCTAATATGAATTATTCAGTAACTGCTATGAAGTATTCAGTATCGACTATAAATTATTCAGTATCTACCATGAATTATTCAGTAACTGCTACAAATTATTCAAGTAACTAATATGAATTGAAAAAGTGAGTTTATCTTCAGACAAGCAGCTTAAAGTAAAGGTTCAGAAATATTTAGAAACATTCAGGATTTTGACATTTTTACTACTACAATACACTTTTATTACTACAATACTTGCAGAGTTTAAATACAACATGATACAAGGTATGTTATTAAATAATACTGATCTTTCTCTCCCTGCAGTGTTGAGGTGGCGTTCCTTCTGCTTCATTTTCATTACATCATGTGAGATATTTACACATTAAATAGAGATAATGTATTCAAACGGGTTTGTGTAAGCAAGCAACAAATAGAACCAACAAAATGGAGAGAACAAAATATATATTTATGAAAAATACTGTTTTATCTATATACAGGGATAAAGTTACACATGAATAGGTAATCATATGCAAATGTTTGGGTGCCCCCTGCACTCAAAAACATATTTAAGCCCAAAAGTTAAACATATGTATTTTAATTACATGTCAATTTTCTATTCAATTAAAAAACATAAATCCAATGTAAAAATGGTATTTTCCAAGTTTCTCCATCATGTTCAATAAACCTGAATGAATTAAATAACGTCTATATTAAAAGTAGGATTTATGCAATTCTTTTACATAACATTTATGTATTTCTAAAGAGTTAATAGTACTTTCTGTATTCACAGCACAATGACTTAGACTGTGTAAATGGTTTAAATGACAATTTGATCAAATTCCCTTCTTTAGAATTTCTATTCACTCGCAACTGAACTACTAATTAAAGCAAATGTTTATGTGCACAACATTCCTATTGAGGTGCAGCTCTCATGCTGACTATCATGCAAGTTAGCTAGCTAACGCTATCAGTCACTTCATGCCATGCTAACATGTCGAGGTCACCTACAGTTACAAAAACCATGAACTGTTGATTTGAATATTAATGGAATTAATCTTTATATACTGCTTCACAATAAATCACTGCCATTGTTTATTTAATCTACCTTTTGTACCCGGTAACATGACAGCAGACCTAGCAAGGATGCTAGCTAGCTAGTTTGCTGGTGTTGTCTAGAGTATCTCTCAAAATAAGCCAAATGAAACATTAATATATGATCAAAAACATTAAAAACACAAATTAAGTTAATGCGCATCACTATTTCATTGCAGGATGGCAGGAGATTGTAAAAAATAAAAAGAGCCATTTCATGTCCACCATGCCAGCTGAAGCAATTTCCAGTTGATGATGCGTTTCCTGTTACTATAGCACATGCATACTGCATCCTAATAAGATTTAGTGGAAAAATCTAACAGGTCTTATACGGTTCAATTAAATCAGTTTTGGATTTATCCTAATTGGGTTGCTTCTAATGAATATAAAAAAGTAAAGTATATTTTTATGTTTTTTTGAAAAAATATTGGCTTAATGTTTGTGATGGCCATAAATAATTTTTTTGAGTGTGGTCAAATTCTGTGTCTTGTTGATTTTCTAGGTGTGAATAATTTAACATACCCTCTACAGAGAACACATTTTAATACACAGTAATTGAATTTAACATATTGGATAAAAAAAACACATAAAACATACTTTTTACACACATTTTGTGTTTCATTTTTCCCCCAACATGGTCAATTCAGAAAATAAACAGTAAATAATGAAAATGTGTCCACTTATTTTCACTTTTGCATGACTGTATAGGCTCCTGTCAGTGTTATTAGGCTGCAGAGGTATGATGTATGTGTCTTGTGGTACATGTTGAAGACTTTTTTTGTCTTCTTTCTGAAATTTTGGATGCATTGCTAGTCAATTAAAGACATGAAGAAGCTTTGTTTTGAGAACTGATTTTTTTTTTATTTTCTTTTTTTGACTTGGTCCTCGTCCTTGCCACCAGAACTTTGTAAACAAAGTTACGGCCATAGGTAAAAGGAAGTGACATTCATCATGTGTGGTTGGATATCAAAGAATTCAAGGATATCCTTCTTCTGTTGTTCGTGGGGTGAAGAGCTGGACAGTTCTGCTTTCTCTTTCTCAGTTGAAGTCTGCATTAAGATACACAGCGCAGGAACCAAATCATGACGTCTCTCCTTTTTCTTGCACTTACCATTAATCTGGCATCAGCAGGTGAGTTCATATTACTTACAACATAATGTATATGTAAATCTAAAGGTTTACAGGTTAAAGATTGTCTTAGAAGCCATAAAAGTTCAGTGCTGCAGTTGTTAACTTGCTGTTTTCCGAGAATGTTTTAATCCAGCAGCTTGATTTGAGTGAGGAGAATAAAAACAGGCTAAAATATGGTGAATGTATTCTGCTGTGAGTCACCCTGTCAAGCCTGAAATAATCATTTACACATCAAAGGCATCTTTGGACCTGAATTACCCACCTCTATATATAACTCACATTCTTATTTTTAAAAAATTAACTATGATACCAACCAACCTTCTTTATTTGTACACTGTTTGGTCTTTTTAGCCCGCAGCCCACCACGCACATTGCACTTTGACCACCAAGACCAAACGTTTGGGCACCCCTGAACTAAAATCTGGGATTACACTAAAGAACTTAAGATATATTCTTGGAATCTGGAGGTTCTCAGTGAAAGTTCGTGTAATTTCAACTTTATTTATCTAAGCATCTGAAGGTAAAGGTTGGAGATGTTCCTCTCTGTTCAAGTTCAGTGACAGGCTAGCTAACTGTTTCTTACTGCATGTGTGAGCGCTGTTCCTGCCCGATGTTACCCTCATGAAGCTGATGATGTGAATCAGGTCTTTTAGAGCAGGGGAACATTCAAATGTGCAGGGCAGTGGCTCATACAAGAGCAGAACTAGAAAACAGTGAGCTACAAGCAAGTGCTGAGGGTCAACAACCTAAAGCACGATTGGGGAACTTTGGATTCCTGCACTGTTTGGTGATTTTTTTGTTTAAACTTTTGGTTGAACACATTCGTTGATTGCCAGGTTTAGCTGTATTTTTCATGTTGTTACACATGTCCAAGTAGAACATGCTTTTGGTCACCTTCTTGTCTTCCCACAGCAAACTCATCTGAGAATTTTCACAGTGATCCGACAGGGACTAGATTCACCTGGAAGATTTTTCCATCAGTTTAATGGTGGCTGTAACTCAGACTCTGCTAGTCTCAAGTGGCCAGACGTAATCTCGTAGGATGAGCATCTGAAGACAACCATGAGGAATTTTTAGCTAAATATGGGAGAGACCATACACTTTTTTGGGAGGAACAAGCTGAGAATGAAATTTCTAAAACAATCCAACACCCCATGAAGGTAGAGCTCACAGTAGGGGGCGCTGGTGCGTTCGTCAACCTTGTCCAATGCACAACAAGCCTGTCGTTCGCACATGAATGTAGTTTAAGTCATATTTGAAAGGTCCCTCAAAAAACTCCAACTAAGCATGTAGATGTGTAAAAAAACAGTGAAAAAATGTTTCATTAGCTGACGTTAGCTTGGCTTGCGTGTAATTAATTGAATTGAATCCATTTATTAAAAAGTCTTCATATTCTGTATTCTTGAGTATGTTTACATGCTGATACTTTTTGGCTTTCACTCAAGTATATTTTTAGCTCCATACTTCTGCTTTTAACTGAGAAAGAGTTCAACACTCAAACTTTCACTTCAGTACCGTTTCTCTGGACTTTTTACAGCCCTGTCCACCAACACGCTTTATTGAAGTCATAGTCACATTATTGACAAACTTGTCGCCCTTCAGTGAAATTCCTGGATATGAGTGTTAAATATGCCCCTCATATGAACTGAGTGGATTGAAAGAGTTTCAGGAGCTGCTGGATAATATTACCTTAGCTAAAGTCACTGGAAATCAGTGCTTTAATGGTACTGCTAAATGAAGCCTCTTCTGTGCAACAGAAGTTTATTGAGCAGTTGGTTTCATTTGCACAAATATGATATCATTCTTCTGTAGTCTTAGAATGGTGGGTGTTAAAAGGCTAGTACGACTAAATTATTATTGTTCGCAACCAAGACAGTCAGGTACCACTTTGTTTTTGTCTGAAATTGATGTAGAACACAATGATTTCTGTGGACTGTACTCTCTATGAGAGCTAAGAGATCACCTGCAAATTACATTTCAAGTGGCGATCATAGGGGTCCAAGCATTTTACAACTTATGGCACCAGCACAGGCCTTTCAGCAGATAGAACATAAGTGACAATGATGCCAAATTTTGTACACACTGGCGTTGGTATGGTAAGCAATAAGTCTCCACAAAAATTTCAAAATATCTGAAAAGCAATATAGTTTTTGACATGACTTGAATTGCCATAGTCGTTGAGGTCTATCAGCCTGTAGAGTTTAGCTCCAGCCCTTATATAACACCACTCCAATTAATAGACGAAAAATAGACACAGCGATGTTGGATCTGACCTCTGGATCTCCAGCACCAGAAATGGTCCCATCTGTTCTACAGCAACTACCTGTTTCTCTATATGAATGCATAATAATGCTTCATTTACATTTGAAAATAACTAAAAGTTTCTAAGCTAAATGTTCCAAGCCTCAGAAACCTGTACAAGGGGTTGGTTTCTGAACTTGTCACATTTTTCACTGCTTATAAGTTTGCATGTCTGTTTTTGGTAGGTGTGAAATTATAAGCCTAATGATGGCATTTTACCATGTCTGCTGCTGAATGCAAAACACATGAATAATACATTATATGGACAAACCATATTGGGTCACCTACACATTACACTGACAGGAGCTTTATGAAGCCTGTTCTAAATCCATAAGCATTAATATGAAGTTGGTCCCCCCTTTGCAGCTATAACAGCTTCCACTCTTCTGGGAAGCTTTCCACAAGATTTTGGAGAGTGACTGTGGGAATTATTGTCCATTCATCCAGAAGAGCATTTGTGAGGGCCAGTCACGTTTTTCCACACCAAACTCACCCAGTCATGCCTTTATGGGCCTTGCTCTGTGCACTGGGACTCAGTCATGCAGGAACAGAAAAGGTTCTTCCCCAAAGTTGGAAACAATCGTCTTGTTCTGCTTAAGCATTAAGATTTCCCTAAACTGGAACTAAGGGTTCTAGATCAGCCCCTGAACAACAACCCCATAGCATCATCCCTCCTCCACCAAACTTTACAGCTGGTGCAGTGGCAGGTAACATTCTCCTGGCATTCGCCAAACCCAGACTCGTCCATTAGACTGACAGATAGAGAAGCGTGATTCATCAGTGGCGGCATGCTTTACACCCCTCCCCCCGACATTCGGCATTGTGCATTTTGATCTTAGGCTTGTGTGCAGCTGCTCAGCCATGTAAACCCATTTTGTGAAGCTCCTAATGTGCAGTTCTTTGCTGATGTTGCTTCCAGAGGCAGTTTGGAACTCTTTAGTGAGTAATTCAACAGATGATAGACACTGTGAGCTTCAGCACTCACCACCCCCATGCTGTGAGTTTGCGTGGTCTACAGCTTCGTGGTTGAGCTGTTGTTGCTCCAAGATGCTTCCATTTCAGAATAATAGCACTTACAGTTAACAAACTACTGCCAGTGTTTGTCTATGGAGATTGCAAGGCTATGTGCTTAATTTTATCCACCTGTTAGCAATGGGTGTGGCTGAAACACCTGAACTCAATAATTTTGTCCATATAGCATATATGTATGTATGTATGTATATTATGGCAAGCCAAACAAGAAACATTTCATGAACATCGATATATATATACAGTGAACATTGATGAGAATATGGAATGAAAGTCTGAATATATGGAATGAAAGTCTGAATATATGGAATGAAATCGGATGTCATCGAAGAACTTGTGCCGTCTTGATTTTTCAATGTGTGATATGTGAAATCTAGGAGCAGTGATCCTGAAGAGTGAGGGGATAATTAACACCCTGGTGAACGGATGTACTGCCCAAAATAACACTAGAAAGAAACAAGCCTTTCACCTCACAGGAGCAGCCCACAAACAGCCTAGAGTGCAGTAATGAGTAAAGAGGGGTTGTAGGGATGGGGTATGGTGTTGGGGTTCCACTTTAACCATGATGTCAAGGGGGGGCTATCCTCGTTACAAGCGATCGCATCCCGAGGGGGTGGATGTCGAGGGCTATCCCCATTACAAGCGATCGCGTCCCGGGGGGCATCTAACGTAGCATCCAACTACATAGCTAGTCCTAACCCACACCATAGCCTTGGGGCCTTTCAAGTGAACGGGTGAAGATTTTAGGTAGGGTCGTTGTGGGGTGCTCTGGTGGAAGGCATGTTTCTTTCCACATTACCGTTTGCCTGATAATAGTCTGGCCTGTGAGGTTCACTGCATTCTTCCACAGTGAAACAATGAATAAAGTTCACAGTATTAAATACGGTTACCGGTATTATTTTCACCAGGGTGTTAATTATCCCTTCACTATTCAGGATTACTGCAACTACATTTCGTGCTGACTCAGTCATAGCGTCGCACTGCCGGCGTCCGTACGGAGTCTCACATATACGAAACACAAGATGGCGCTAGTGCCTTGATGACGTCAGATTTCATTCCATTTTCTCAAGGTTCATTATGGAGTTTCATTCCATATTTTCAGGTTTCATTCCATATATTCAGACTTCCATTCCATGTACTCAGCGTATATATATATATGCAATATATATATATATATATATATATATATATATATATATATATATATATATATATATATATATGCAATCAATAACGAATTAACATGATAAATTAACATGATGTTTACTAATTGAGGTACTGCTTTTTCATCCGGACAGCCTCCCATTCTCTTCACTACATCTACACTGCAGTAACTCCAGGAATGCAATTCCCAGAGTTCACCACAGTGGGTGTGGTAGACAGGGAACAGTGTGATTACTATGACAGCAACATCAGGAGAGTGATCCCAAAGGCTGAGTGGATGAAGAAGATAGACGCTGATGATCCGGAGTACTGGAACAGAAACACTCAGACTCTGCTGAGTGATCAGGGGACCTTCAAAGCTAACCTGGATACTCTAATGCAGCGCTTCAACCACACTGACGGTGAGCGCTCAGAGCTTTGATTACATTGTACTCCTGCAACTGCGCCAGTCCCTGTGGTGGTTACAGTGGTGGTGATAGGAACCAGGGGGCACCATGACTACAACACAAATATAGACATTTTATTTACTATCAAAACCACCAGAGAACCTACACGAGTCTTCTGAGTTTATATGGAATGATGATGATAAAATAGAAAATCTAAAATAATAGGTTCTCTTTTGGGACTATTTTGCCTCATAACAACCCTGCATGTATGCCTCCACAATTAATTGTCTAACACATCAGGCAGTGTGTTCATAACCATTTCATGTAAAAACTTTCTGTGAGGGAGCTTTTAGAGGTGGACGTCTGGTTCCTATCACCACCACTGTGAACAATTCTGACTCTGTAAGTTTCTCTAGAACAGAGCGTTTCACACCAAACCACTCTGAATGACTCTGTTTACCTTTCAACCGTTTAATGATGCAGAATTTTTTAACAGTTGCTGGAATTTCTCTTCTATTTCATGTTCACTCACAGGATGAGAGGCTCATTTTTACAGTGTGTGTGTTCTTACAGGGTATGTTGATCTAATGGTGTCTAATGTGGTTTAATTTCTCATATTGTGCATCGGTATGAAGTGTTTGTGCTTCTGCAGGTTTTCACACATTCCAGTGGATGTACGGCTGTGAACTGGATGATGATGGAACCAAGAGAGGATACATGCAGTTCGGTTATGATGGAGAAGACTTCATCAGTCTGGATCTGAACACTCTCACCTGGCCGGCAGCCAACGCTAAAGCTGTTATTACCAAACACAAGTGGGAGAGTGTAAACTGGGCTGCTCAGGTGAAGAACTACCTGGAGAACACCTGCATTGAGTGGTTACAGAAGTATGTGGGTTATGGCAGATCCACTCTGGAGAGGAAAGGTAAAGTCTGTGGTCACAGCTGTCGGTCAGATTGGGTTCTGAGTTCTTCCAGATGCTCTTTTACTGAGTGGACACTTAAGCAGTAGAGCTCAAGTTTTAGAAGTCACCTATGTTTAGGTTAATGTAAAAATGGTGTAGATTTGATTTTCTTTCTGAACTATTGCTTTATCAATAATACACAAATATTCAGTAGTCAAAATATTACACGGTGAACTGTCTTTATCTCTCTCTCTCGCTCTCTCTCTCTCTCCAGTCTCTCCTGAGGTGTCTCTGTTCCAGAAGGACTCTTCTGCTCCAGTGGTGTGTCATGCTACAGGTTTCTTCCCCAAAGCAGTGATGATCTCCTGGCAGAAGAATGGAGAGGATCTGCATGAGGACGTGGAGCTCAGAGAGACGCTACCCAACCAGGATGGAACCTTCCAGAAGAGGATCATTCTGACTGTCTCACCTGAGGAGCTGAACAGACACAACTACATCTGCATCATTGAGCACAGCAGCCTGGAGAAGGAGATGGTGCTACAGGTGGCTGATCAAAGAGTCCAGTCAGGTAGAAAAAACTGATTCTGTAGCACAAAATGTGTTAAAGTCAAGAGACGTTTAGACGCTAGCTCTAAAATGGTGTAGCATCGCTCAAACAGTCAGCCCAAGAAGCCTCGTAGCTGTAGTGTAGCATTGTTAAAGTAGTCGGCCCAGGAAGCCTTGTAGCTGTGGTGAAGCATCACTCAAGCAGTCAGCCCAGGAAGCCTTGTAGCTGTGGTGTAGCATCGCTGAAGTAGTCAGCCTAGGAAGCCTTGTGGCTGTGGTGTAGCATTGCTCAAGTAGCCAGCCCAGGAAGACTTGTAGCTGTGTGTGAAGGTGTTGCTACCATTTGGAAGCCTCATAGCTGTAGAACTGTATTGCTCAAGTAGCCAACCTGGGAAGCCTTGTACCTGTGGTGTAGCATTGTTCAAGCAATTTATGGGCGAAGCCTTGTAGATGTAGTGTGTCACTGCTCAAGCAACCGGCCCAGGAATCCTCGTAGCTGTGGTGCAGCATAGCTTAAGCAGCCTGCCCAGCCTGCTCATGTTCCACCAATATTAAATTATCATACATTAAAAAGATCATGTTAATAAAGATCGTCTTCTCTCCACTGGATTATCAGTTTATTAATAAGGTCTGGTGTAGATCCTGTTCGAACAGGTGTAAATCTTTCACCTGTGAATGACTGTTGTTTTTATATTTGTCTTTACAGAAGAAATCTAAATGTCAGGAAGAACAGGACCAAGATGAAGAACTCAATTCAGATGTTTTTTAATCATTCAGTCATTTTTATCAATATCGTTTCAGTATTATAATCAATCAAATCAAAGCTTTAACATACTTACATTCAACTCTCTTAAAATTCTCTGCTGTTTAAATTAACACTTTACATAATGTCATAAATCATTTTTCCTACAAAATTTCATTCATGATTCTAATACTGCACTACCTTCATATTAAAACCATATACTAACCTGAATTGTGAACATGCAGTTATGTTAATTATTTATTCTGAGTTTTTGAGAGATGGTTTAGTGTTAGTGCTACACATATTCGCTCTTAAGCTTCCTTACTAAGTCTCTGTGAACTGGGACTGTGTAGAGTGCAGTGTGGCCAGTAGAGGGCACTTTCTGCTCAGAAATATCAGGAAGGAGATGAGACAATACAGAGAAGAAGCTGAACATCTGAACACATTGATATAATATCCAGTGCTGAACTGTGACTATTAAAACAGGGCCTTTAGTTTGGGCCTAAAAGGGCAAAGATCAGTGAGAAAACACCACTATGATAAAGTAAATCTTGCCAACTTCTATGGCTTTTCTAATACTATGTTAGCACTAAGCTAATTGTAATCGTAACCTTCATTAACATATTTGTATCGGTTTTAAAGTGACTCCTTCAATAAATGCCACTGTTTTCCATTCCTAACAACCACCTGAAACCTGCTTAGACTACCGCTCTTATTTCTAGACAGTGACGTATCTAGAACCTCCAAAAGTGACAATGTTCTCACAAAATTGATCTCATTGTAATCAAAACGTGATTGGTTGATTCCTCTGGCAGTTCGTAAGTATGTTGGAAGTTAGTTTAACGTGTCCAGCTCCTGAAGTCCTAACCAATGGGAGCTCGCTTGGCTGTGTCAACCTAGATAACATTCCTAGCTGGATACATTTCCATTGGGTGTTTCAAGATTTTGACCCTTTTGTTTCCAACCAAAACTTAATAATTAAATTAGAGTATTACTACAAAACTTCCAGAGTTTGAGTACAAGTAAGATGCTGCTAAATAATAGTAACTAGAATATAAAAGTGACAGTATGGCTAAAGCATAAGACAATGATGGGCTTCCAGTAGTGTTGTTGTGCTACATCATACTGTACTGTCTCCACATCCAAGCCATGCGTATCCAGTGCCCAGACGTTCTTGTTACAAGATCTTTTTTAGCCCAACGACTGTTTTATAATTCATTGTTATTAATTTGATGCATAGGTGAAGGAATTTTTTGCTCTCCATCTTCTGCATCTGTAGGGCTCGGTCAATTATTGTGAACAGATTCCAAGAAAAAAAACAATTTACTTGACATTTATTTAGTTACCATTTACCCAAATCACATTTTTATTAAATATTTTCAGTAATTCTTCAGTGAAAGATGAAAGTAACCAGAACTACTTTTTCACTGGATTGCTCCAGTGTTGTAAACTTACATAACAGCTTTGGTAAGATATTTTTTCAGTCTGTCTACCCTGTGCTGTTGGAGTGGAATGTCTTTGGAATTTGCTTTATACACAGTTGTATGCATAAGTTAGTGCACCCCTGGTCAAATTCTATGTATTGTTGATTCTGTAAGTAAACACATCCTTTACAGAGACACACTTCCACACACTTTAATACACAACTACTGAATTTAATATATTTGGGAAAAAATAAAACAAAATGAGGACTATGCAAAAGTTATGACACATTTTATGTTTTAAACCTCAGCAAATAAATAGACATTGTGCAGGAAAATGACATATTTAAGTTTGTTCCCTGTAGAAGATGTGGAATTCAACAACACCACACTGGCCACACAAAATACAGATGGAACAGAACTCAGACGCAAAACTGTGATCAATGCTGCAGTATTTATTGAGTTTAATTAGTAACATATTGGCAAAGCATAAGGGATACATAGATTTTTTTGAACTGTTTCACAACATCAGCTGTTTTAATTTCATTTATTTTCATGTGCTAGTGAGTTTTGAGTCTGCAGGTTTCTGCTCTTCTGCACTGTAAATAATTAGTGAGCTCAACTTAAAATGATAAGGTAACTTAGTATTACACAGCATTTCATGAGTTAACTCAAATTGAGGACACCAACTCAAACATCTTAGTCAAAAGTTAGATAAACAAGAACAATTGAGACTCTTTTTATCACATAGTCCCACCAGGTATTTTCTCCTCTTGGGCTCCCACTTACGGTGTTCATACATATGATCTCCTGATGTTGTGGCTTACATGGTTGCACCACTTGAGAGGCCCTGTTTCTCCTGTTTCTGCATCCATAAATGATTTATATACTGAAAAAACATATTTGTTGTATCAACTTAAAAAAGTAACACGTGATGCAACTATCTAAACTTTAACTCCACTATCTAGAGATTGCGAGTTTGACACCCAGTAATGCCACAGCCATCCATAAGTGGGAGCCCAAGAGGAAAAAAATGCCTAGTGGGATTGTATGATGGTCCCAGCTAGTGGGGAAGAAAAAATCTATATTGTTTACCTAACAGAACTAAAAATGTGAGAAATATGAGGACTTAAACTAAGATGTTTGAGTTTGGTGAACTCCAGTGCCCTCAAGTTGAGTGAAATCAAGAACATCTGTGTAAAAATCATAATTTTAAGTTGCTGATTTTTCATCTGTAAGTAAATTCAGGCAAACATGTTGAAATTAGTGGTCATGGTAAAATCAACCCTACACTACAGATGAAGCACATGGAGATTAGGTTGAAGCTATTGCATAACAGGGTAAATGTGCATGGAATTGTAACTGGTTGTAAGTAATTATGGGAGGAAATTTGATAGAATTTTGAAGATAAAATTAAAAAAATAATTTTGGAGAGTAAGTTTTTAACTTTTTTAATTTTCTCTATACTATATGTTAGTTATTTGTTTTTTTCCAAAATGTTAGAATAGAAATTGTCCACTAAAATTTGCAGAAAAGTACAAATATTTAAATGTGTTCTCTGTGGAGATTTTCAGCCAGAAAATCAACCAGGGGGTGTTCAAACTTTCACATACAGCTGTAATGTTGAATGTCTTGAGCTCGAGTTGGGGAGATGCCCATTTAGAACACATCACATACTATGGAGCTAGGACACGTTTATGATAATTGTCTGAATACCTGTTTGCTTAAAGAAAGCTATAACTGAGCAGATAATAGTGTTGAGGTCAAAGCAGGTCTGTTGATCATTGCTGGATGTGGTGTTTAATGGAGATCAGATAAACAGTGTCCTATCCAGCCAGATCTGCACCTGCACCTGCACAGTATTCATTATCCTGCCCACAACGCTTACACTTATTGTTATTATCACACTGATACAGAGGAATCTGATCTGCTATTTTCTTGAAGCAGTCTGACAGCTCTTCCTTGTCCACGTCTTCTCTGTAGATCTGAGAGAAAACGAAAGCCCTCGGCCCTTGGAGGGAGTTGAGCTCATTAAGATAATTATAAATACACCTGAAAATTCCTGTTAATTTTTTTCCTTTTGTCGTTTGTTTATCATGAATCTTTCTTGTTTCCTCGTCTGCCTCTTCATTTAGGCACCTTTTCAAACAGGGGGAGTTGTATGTGTAGAAGATCACACAATCTTCATCATTTCTTCCCTGTTTGCTCTCTAACAATTGTTTTATCGCCTTCCCTTCATTTTCTATTAACAGCTTGTACTCTGAATGTCTTTCATTCTTAGATCTGGCAGCAATGACCTGAGCAATTTGTCCTTCATACACTTTCGTCCCCAAGGTGTTCTTGAAATTACTGACTTCCGTTTTAAGAGGTTCAAGACCCTGTTCATTAAAACCTTGTAGACACTGATTTTTTGCGATCCTGACTGCCATAGCATACTGAAAGCCTAGACGACCTGATCCAGACACTGGTACAGATGATGATCCAGCTACAGGTACCACTTGAGACACTGCTGGGTCGTTACTGCACAGAAACAATGAAGGATTAAAGTGAGTGTTAGTTGATTCATCATGGGCTCCACTCTGATAAGAAGGAGGTCACTATAAAACGTTTCTCTACAATCAGGTTTAAAACATTTCTTTTATTACCCCACTTTACTATAATAACACTACAACAACAATATAATAACATACATTAATTTCTTATAATAATAACTAGATAATAATTGGTGTTTTTAAGGCACTACCTTTGCTTTTTTAAAATTCATCACTGGCTATTCTGACCACTGAACCTTACAGACACTTTCATTGTTATAGAAATATTTTTTCTTATTTATGATGTTAGGAAGAAACATTCTTATTTATATAGAAGCTTCTTTGTTGTTTTGTAGATCAGTCAATCACTACTTACTGCACATTTATCACACTGACTATGTGCTCCAGTGCCTTCAGGTCTACAGTTCTCTGGCCTTCAACATCCCTGATTCCTGAAGAGAGCAGAGAGAGGAGGAGCACTGCCCTCAGCACACCTGTCCACACCTGCACACAGTTTCAAACGTCAAGTAACAGAAGTAGGACAGGCCTGACAAACATGAATGTGTAGCTTGAGTGCTGCATTTTTTCTGTAGATCATCACTTCTACTTGATGAACATGGTGCTTTTAGACCTGATCTATGTTTAAACAATTCAGAAGAAGCATAGCGAACGTTTAACAACAGGCAGAAACAAAGAGAACAGAAGGATTTTCCTGAAGAGCTTCTTACCATAATGGGCTGAGATGTTTGCAGACGTCCTGAATCTTCTCAGCTTGGCTGGGATGTGCAGGAGGACGAGGAAGACCCGCACATTTATCACGTCCCAGCCACTCATCACGCAGGCAAATCACTCTTATTTCCATTTACTATGAGGTGATGTCTCAGATCAGAGGTCATTACACTGTACAGTAGAACGACTGCACTAACTTCATTTTTTGGTTTCCTTCACTCTTTTTAACACACACATTTGTTAAACTCACACATTTAAATCTATCATCCTGTACTATTTCTTGTACAATCCTTAGTTACTGAAATCTAGTTGAGATCAATTCATTTGGATAAGTCCTACAGACTGAGGAGTCTTTTGCCCCAAAAGCTTTCCAGCATCCTTAGCCGTCTTGTTAGTTTTGAGTATTTAACTCTTATTTTCCAAAATTTTCATTCATTCTCTTCATGTACTGATGTTATTTTTGTTATAGGATACTCTCATGCTAAATGTTAAGTTTAAATTATAAATCTAAATATATTCCATCAATGATATGAAGAAATAAGTAGTTCAATAGAGGGAGCTCAAAACAGGCAGAAACTGCATGGTTACTGTGGAAAATGGTAAATAAAACACCCCTCCCTCAGTGGAGAAGAAAAAAATAAAACATTTGAAATTTTTAATTTTAAATTCATTTTACAGTCAGATTTTCTGTGTTTTTTTAACTTAAAATGATCCCATTCAAGGATAATCTTCAGTTTATTAGGAAATCGTTTCCAAAAATGAAACATGCTTGTCACTGGAACGATACCCCTTTTGCCTCTGGGGCGGTACCCCTCTTGTCACTGACATGGTACCCCACTTGCCTCTGGGGTGGTACCCCTCTTGTCTCTGGGATGGTACCCCTCTTGTCACTGGAGTGGTACCCCTCTTGTCTCTGGGACAGTACCCCTCTTGTCACTGGAGTGGTACCCCTCTTGTCTCTGGGGCAGTACCCACTTGCCTCTGGGACGGTACCACTCTTGTCACTGGGGCGGTACCCCTCTTGTCAATCGGATGGTACCCCTTTTGTCACTGGCTCTGGGGTGGTACCCCTCTTGTATCAGGGGCAGTACACTTTTTCAAGGCAAACGGTTTCCTAGATTCTTTTACGTTTGTAGGTTAAAACTCAAGGGCATCTTCAAGGGGAATTCCTAAAATTGTTCAAAGTTTCTTCATAATTCAGTGCTTGAGATGTAAATAGAGTGATTCAGAATGGTTTGGTGTGAAATGGTTCTTTACAGTGGTGTTGATAGGAACCAGGGGTCGCCATGACTACAACACAAATATAGACATTTTATTTACTATCCAAAACCATTACTGAACCAATTTTTGGACTGTTCTGCCTCTCAATGTTCTGCATCAACCTCTCCAACATGAATGGGTTTTAAAAACACTTTTTAGGACGAAAATCTCCTCAAATCTATTGTAAAACAATGTATTAAACATCAGGCAGTGAATTCATAATCATTTACTGTAGTAACTTTCTGTGAGGGAGCTTTTAGAGGTGGACGTCTGGTTCCTATCACCACCACTGTGAACAGTTCTGACTCGGTTTCTTAAGTTTCTCTAGAACAGAGCGTTTCACACCAAACCACTCTGAAAGACTCATTTCATTATGCAGAAATTTTAAAAATTGGTGAAATGGCAAATTTCATATTTAGTTAAAAGTCATGTTTACTGTTCTCTGACAGTTCTTAACCTTTTGGGACCTGACACGGAAAAGTTCTAGTAGGCTAAATATAATTAATTCTTTAAAATAAAGGCTGTACTGAATCTTCATGCTAGGCCCTGTTTCAGTTGGAGCTGCTCTTCACTTTAATAACTGCTGTGCTGCATTCAGATACCATCTCATGCTGTCTATGTCATAGACTTTAAGACTTCTTCTAACTGTAGATATTTGAACATGGAAATGTAATGTGATAATGTAATGTGAGAGGCAGTTGTCACATGGTTATCACTAACTGCTCACTAGTGCTTACAGATAGAGGAAAATCCAGGGGTGCTGCTAATGCAAATGAGTCTCCTTCTTCTCCAGGGCTACTGCCTGCTGACGATGTGATCTCCAGCTGTGAGAGTAGTGTTTCTGGTCCTGGAGGCTCTGCACTTTTTAGTGTTTTCCCTGCACCCAACACACTGATCCAGTTGATCAGCTCATTACAAGCCTATTATTGAGTTAAAGTGGTTGTGTTAAAGCAGGAAAAGCTCTAAAATGGACTCCTTGATTACTGTACAACCTGCGTCGCTCTGACTCTGTACTGGTCACATCCACAGTACAAGTTGCACAGTAAAACTGGTAGAGCACAGAAAATAGACACTGATATTATACAGACAGAATTTTAAATGTGTTGTGTGTAATTAGAAACATACACTATATGGACAAAAGTATTGGGACACCTACATATTACATGTACAGAAGCTTTTATGACATCCTGTTCTAAATCCATAGGCATTAATATGGAGTTGGTCCCCCTCTGCAGCTCTAACAGCCTCCACTCTTCTGGGAATTTTTCTACATATGTTGGAGAGTGTCTGTGGGAATTTTTGCTCATTCATCTAGAAGAGGTCAGACACTGTTGTTGGACGAGAGGGTCTGGCTCACAACCCCCATTCTAGTTCATCCCAAAGGTGTTGGATGGGGTTGAGGTCAGGGTTCTGTGAGGGCCAGTCAAGTTCTTCCACACCAAACTCACCCAGTCAGGCCTTTATGGAGCTGCTTTGAGCACTGGGTCTCAGTCATGCTGGAACAGAAAAGGTTCTTCCCCAAACTGTTCCCACAAAGTTGGAAGTGTACAGTTGTCTAAAATGTCTTGGTGCTGAAGCATTAAGACTTCCCTTCACTGGAACTAAGGGTTCTAGACCAACCCCTGAAAAACAGCCCCATATCATCATCCCTCCTCCACCAAACTTTACAGCTGGCACAGTGCAGTCAGGCAGGTAACGTTCTCCTGGCACTCACCAAACCCAGACTCGTCCATCAGACTGACCGATAGAGAAGTGTGATTCATCACTACACAAAATACGTTTCCACTGCTCCAGAGTCCAGTGGTGGCGTTTTTTACCACTGCTTCTGACGCTTGGCATTGTGCATTTTGATCTTAGGCTTGTGTGCAGCTGCTCAGCCATGGAAACCCATTTCGTGAAGCTCCTAACGCATAGGTCTTTTGCTGATGTTGTTCCAGAGGAACTCTTAAGTGAGTGAGTCAACAGAGGACAGGCACTGTGCGCTTTAGCACTCAGCAGCCCACTCGGTGAGTTTGCGTGGTCTTCGTGCCTGAGCTGTTGTTGCTCCTAGATGCTTCCATTTCACAATAATAGCACTTACAGTTGTCTGGGGCAGATCTAGCAGGACAGAAATCTCACAAACTGACTTGTGGCAGAGGCGGCATCCTATGGCAGAGGCGGCATCCTATGACAAAGCCATATTTAAAGTCACTGAGCTCATCAGTATGACCCTCTACTGCCAGTGTTTGTCTATCGAGACTGCAAGGCTATGTGCTTAATTTTATCCACCTGTTAGCAATGGGTGTGGACTTCTGATGCTTTAGCACAAATTTCCTCCCCAGCCTAGAACCTTATAATGTTAACATGTCACACTTTGCACCCCAGCCTCTTTCATTTAGAATCAGCATACACTTTAGAACCTCCCATAATAGTGTTCTGCACTTTTATTTTAAAAAAGGCTTGTTATTAACTGTTAATAACATCAACAATAATGTCTGTTAATAACAATATCATTGAGAACATTAACATAGTCTTCCAAGAACCCACATATTTACAACGATGAACAAAAGAAAATTGTAAAATAAATGCATTTTTTTCTGTATTAGAAAATAATACGTGATAACATACCCAGCTGTCACTGTGTCTTAAGATGTCTTGACAGTATTTATAAGATGTCTTGAGACATTTTCTTATGCCAAGACATCTCAAGAACGTCTTAAGACATATGAGTGAAGACACTGTCTTTGTCTTGAGACATGAAAGTTAACGTCTTAAGACAAAGAAGTAATTATTTTGTGTGTCTTGAAGACGAGGCACGACTTAAGACATCACTTTGTCTTAAGACACAGAGATGTTGTGTCTTAAGACAGTTCAGTTATAACCAAAGAGTGGTTCATTACAAACAGTGCTGTGGTATGAGTGTGGTATTCCTATGATACTGCCAAACTGAAGATTACTACTGAGGATTACCAGGATTACCACAGCACTGCCTAATGTACAATATAATGAGAATATAACTATATAAAAGAGAATATAAGTATGTCCTCAAGAAACAGCCTGCTGTAATGTTACGGTTTTTGTGTGATATCACTAAAAGAACTTTCACTAAGGTTGTACTTGCTGTACTTTTGTGATTCTTTTTTGTATGTTTTGTTTTTTGATTATTGCAGAAATGTGTTTACAGTGGCAAAACAGCAAAAGAAAAAATCAATTCTTAAACCATTACCTTACCTTAAAATGTTTAAACTCATTTCCTTACATCACTGAAGTTCATGGTAGAATAACTTTTAATTTGTAACATTTACCAATGGAGATAATCACAGTCAGTCACAGCCTTTTGCTCATTTGTAGAAAACATGCTATGATTAACACAACACTGATCTATTTTCAAATGTACAATTGTAACCAGAGACAACAAGCTAGGAACCAAGATAAAGCAACTTTGAACTAATAGGAAGTAAATGTACTTAACAGCTAACCTGGGTACTTTAGAGATCACAGACCACCTGAACTTAGTGCAGAGAAGCACTTGGTTCACTCTCTTCATCATCTACACTTCTGTTTATTTCCTTAAGCAGATCAGGGCTGCCCCAAGTTTGACCATCAGGACTTTTAATTTGGCCCAACAGAAAGAAAACAAACTTTTTTATATACCATGTAAAACTTTCAAAATTATTATCTCCAGGTATTTGGAAAACACAAACACTAATAAACAAATGTATTTGAGTGGTAATATATAAAGACCTGTTTTGTTTCACCACGTAAAATTACATAATAAACAGATTTTTGTTTAAATGTC